TTTTTTTTTTCGCAATGCGTGCGGAGTTGGGTATCCGTACAGCCCACGAAGCGCTGCCATGTGACAAACTAGAAAGTCCTTGAGGCGACCTGGTTCCTGGACGTCCTTGACATCACCATGCAAGCCTCATGCACCATCTCCCCGGGGCCCCTCATCGTCACCAGCCGTCACCCGTCCAAACAACACATGTCTCAACCGCGGCGACCGGATGAGGCCAAATGATCCAATCTTCGTCTGCCTCCCTGCTTGTCTTACCTCACCTCTCGGAATCCCAGCCACCCCCAGAGCTGTCACTCCAGGTCGTCAAGACTGGCTAACTGGCTGGCTGCCTAGGCCCTTCACCATTCACAGGTGCCCATGCCAAACCGCATCCCAGAAGAGTGACCGAGCCGCTCACCAGCTGGTTGCTGCCTCTGAGGCTTCAACCACACACCAACCAACACTCACGACAACGAATCAATCTCCCCACGCCGAGCCAACTGCACTCACTCACACACATGCATACATGTACACACAACACACCACCACACGCACACCTGCCTCGCAAGCGCGATCAGTCAACCCATCTGTCCCACGCTACCACTGCCTTGTCAGATCTCCACCCCGAGGCCCCAGGGGAGGAGGGGGGTGGGGAGGCAGAAGGGTGGCAAGCAGAGGAGAGCGCGCGCATCTGCCGTGCGACCCTCCCTTGAGGCACCACCCGGCCGTCCCGCCCACCGCCAACAGCGGCCACGCCCCCGCAGCCCTCTTCCCCCTTGGACTAGGTAGGTCGGCGAGCGAACTGCTGTCGCTGCTACTACATGTAGGTCGGATGCGACCGTCCTTCCTCCTCGCCCCCCTTGCGCGTTAAGGTTGCCGTCTCGACGCGCGCCACGAATTTTGTGATCAAAATAAATGCGTGTGACAGGCGAGCAGAACCCCTTCTCCAGCAGGCTGTACAGTACAGTCGGTAGGTGCATATGCAAGCCCTCTCGAATGCCCGCGGCTGTTTTTGTGACGACCGAGTCGCCCTGCTTGGCCTGGTCGGCGTCCTCTCCAACGGAGACAGCGTAGCGCGCGAGACATGATCATTGGTTCCGTGACCGTGGGGTATGCAAACATATGCTCTTTCTGTGGTCGATCGCTGGTGGGTGGTACTCAATCCGACGTGCATTCAAATAAGAAGGTGTCTGACCTCTTTCATAACGTTCATCTATCGTGTTATCTCGCTGTTCGCTATACAACACGGGGTTGCGCAGCCAGATAGGAGGGGGAGGCTGCCCAATTTCCGTCTTTGACGGAGGAGGGTGATATCTTGCCCCTCCCTCCTACCCCGCGAACCACCAGCCTACACCAGAGGCGATAGGACCAATCTTTCTCTCTTTCCTCCTCTTTATTGCTGCCCCCAAAGGAGGGGAGGCCTCATCAGGTTCCCGGAAGTCGCCTCAGATTCGGCCGACAGCAAGCAAAGCCGGCGTTGGCTGATCAGGAAAACCAGCTACCCGAACACCCCCATTCCCCCATTCCTTTCCCGCCCCTTTTCCCACCCTGTCACACCCTCCGAGTGGCTCGTCTCAAAGGATCCGGGGCCGGCCACACAGAGGTGCAGCCCCGACACCCCTTCTGGCGCTCGCTTGTCGTCGGGAGACGATGCGCGGATGTCAAGGCACCCGACCGGGACGACCCCCGACATGCGACTGGCTACATAGGCCGTAGCATGTGCGTGCTTCACATTCAATGGCCGGCGGCCTTCTTGACGTTTGGCAGCTCCTTGAGTGCCTCGCCGATGGTGTCGATGGCCTTGCGCAGGTCAGTCTCGGAGATGACGAGGGGAGGCGCAAAACGGATGATGTTGCCGTGCGTGGGCTTGGCCTGGACTCGTGTGTTAGTGTGCATTCAGCAAAAATAGCTTTCTTTGGTCAGGACAACTTACAAGCAGGCCCTTCTCCTTGAGTAGGATGCACAGGTCCCACGCCGTGCGCCCGTTGCGGCCCGACTCGTCAATAACGACAGCGTTCAGCAGACCCTTGCCGCGACGATCTTGATGATGGCCGAGCCGAAG